CAACTCCTCATATTCTGTGATTCTGTGATCCCCTATTCAGTTCCTAAATTGTACAGCTGCTTATCTTCACCATCCTTAACAGTTTGGGGGTTTATTCTGCTCTTAATACAACTCTTGCTGGCACCACCTGTAAAATGTGCAACTGCTGGTTACAGATTGCATTTTTCTGTCATGTCCACATCTCATTCATGTCTGTCTGTCTGTCTGTCTTAGCTGCCATCCGTTGTCTGGAGAATGCAGCTGCAAAGCTGGCTGGGCCGGGCTGTACTGCAATGAAACCTGTCCCGCCGGGTACTACGGCGAAGGCTGCCAGCTCCCCTGCCCCTGCCACAACGGCGCAGATTGCGACAGCATCACGGGGAAGTGCGTGTGTGCACCAGGATATATGGTAAGTCAGAGCTGGGGGGTACTTGCCCAATATTAAAGAGGATTTAAATCTGTTTTCAACAAAATAACTGCATGAAAGTGGCCAAATGCAGGTATTTTTTCCCAATTCTCTTATAAGTCCACATAGTTCTCCTTTGAGCAGTGTCAGTTCATTACTTCTGCTTATTTACTTAACATCAGTACTGTAAGTTTATTACTGTTATAAGGATAAAGATACGCTTTCCCATCGTATATTCTAAGTTAAGACATAGCAAAAAAGATGTCAGATTATTGTCTGCCTGGAAGAGCAGAAAAAAGAATTCTCATGGCCTTTCAGCATGTTCTTGTCAGTCACACTGTGATTTTAATAGATGAAGATATTTTAGAATGTTACAAATGATAGAGCAATTTATGTCTTTTCTGAGCATATATGGCAGGTGTCTTTTACCTGAGCATCAGAAAGAGCTTCAGACATTCTGAGGTAAACAAGCATTACATTTTACAGATGAGATATAAAACGGCTGAAGAAATCAGCCAAGATGAAGCAACAGAAAGTCAGAATTAACGATTGCCAGGTTGCAGCAGAAGGTGTTAGGATGGGGATCCACGTGTCCAGTCCTGCTGCAGCTGGGCATGATGGAAGTAAGTTCCCTGTTCACCCATATATGAAACACCTCTTTACTTCAGGAGCACACCATGAAGGAAATCTGCCAGCTATTTTTGAAAAACAATACTGCACAAGGAAAAAAAATATTTTCAAGAGTTAATTCCACTACAATTTCATTAGCAGTTGTCTTTCTGTATTTTTTGTCCTTAATTTTACAGGATCTGTCCCCACAGACTATTGAAGTGTTTTCTATACTATCATAGCAACTATTAATTATAATTCATAAGTTTACTAGAAATCAAGCTTCAGATTCAAAGACATTCACAATATCTTTAGAGCTTCTACGTTTAGCAGCCAACTGAAATGTGCAGCCTCCTCGCTGAGTTTTACCCTCTACTGCTTTAAGTTACAACTTAAGAATGAAATGAATAAATATCTTCAGATACTGGGGAATATGAGAAGTGACTTTTGACTGTTTTTTAGCTCTTTTGATTTCATTTATGAAAATGGTGGACATTATTCCTTTAGAAACAGCAGGAGAGGAATGGCGTGTTCGATCTGGATGGCAAAGCAGCCACATCCTTCCATCAGCACCCGCTGCTGTGTTTTGGGTTTTCTCGAAATAGTGGTGCAGTTGTTCTGCGGGGCCATATGCTGCTGTCATCTACAGGGGAAGGCTGCACAGCTGTGTGACAAGATCCATAGTGTGGGAGTGAGATTTTTATATCTCTGTATCTCTATATATCTATATAGATATATATCTGTATGTCTATATATCTCTGTATCTCTATATCTCTATATATCTCTATATCTCTCTCTATATATATATATATCTATATATCTATCTCTTATGTGAAATTAGTGGGAAGCTGAATAATTTTTAGCCTCCCCTCCTTTTAAATCCACACCTGAGCTTATGTTCACCAAGTGTCTTCTCCAGAACTGGGGAAGTGGAGCCATGGCTTGAAGACGCTTTAGTTCTCCGCTTCTTGTCGACATCTGAACTGGAAAGTTGGAGCTTCTGTCTGATTTCATGGGCTTCTTACAATGCTGGGTATAAACAGATTTATTTAGGCATCAGGGGAAGGGCTGTCAAAATCATTTGTGCGAGTTTGTATTACTTAGAGATGTAAAAAGAAAGAAGAAAAAGGGTTTGTGGTTTCATTCCCACCTCACACTAACAGAAAACAGGAATTTATCTTCTTTATACAGTGGTTATGTACACAAGTATTAATATAAAGTGGAGGAAAGAATGAAGGCAGCAGCATGTTAGTAGCAAATGCAAAATAACACGATACCAAGATCCTCTTTCTTATCAGAAATGCTGTTCAAGTCTGCAGCACAAAAATATTTTGGGATCCTTTACTGTACACAGTTTTTAAAGAGCGTAGCTCATCCAATATATATTGCTGCAAGACAGTATTATTGCAAACATGAAGCCTGGGAAGTTCCTATTGCATTGCTTCAAAATAATATTTAATCTCATAATAAAGAGCTTGCTTGCATTGACATTTAAACAGCTTGGTTATTGAGGATAGCTCTATAATCACTGAAGCATATTTAGGCATTAGTATCATTGCTTTCTCATAATATACTATAATCTCTGGCAATTAGTCCATGAGGGGAAGTAAAGCCTTGAAATTGCTAATTTATTGCCTCTGAAGCATATTTGTCATCCGCGTGCATGCCAGATGACTGGAGTTGCAATGGTTCTTTCAAATGCTAGAGAAACAGGAGCTGTAAAGAAAATTTGATAGGAAAACTTGTCAGAAACCTTGACTTCCTACCCCAGAAAAGTGGTGTCCGAGCTGTGTGCTCCATCATGGCCTGGGCACGGAGACGGTGTCAGCGCAGCTTCGTGACACAGCCCATGGGGTCACACAAAAGATGCTGTGGGGCCAGAACCCTCTCAAGGCTTGAAGTGGTTGATCTCAATGACACGCTCAAGCCCAGACTTTGCCTTCAAAGATGTGTGCCCGCCTCTTGCAGAGGCAATGGGGAGCTTTGCCTGCGGGGAAAATGTTGCCCTTGAACTGGGGGAGCCTGCAAGCAGGTGGCACAACTGTTCATGAATGCAGGATGGCTGTTTTGGCAGCACCGACAGTAGAGTGATGCTAATACCAAACTGAGCAGAGCTAATTATTCAGAAAAGCCATAAATGAATCCCTCTTGCCTTTTCTAGCATGAGGCTTGGCTGAGGCAGCTACGGGGTCAGGAATTTTGCCACATGATTGGAAAGAATGGAATTGGGATGAATATCTTACCTTTTACAGAAACATTTGATCTACGCACGATCTTGTATAGCAAAGCAGGCTGAGGGGTTTCTGAGTAAGGGGGGAAGAAAGAGGATATGATGGGAAGTGGGATGTAACCATGAAGTCTGACAGAGGTTGAACCCATAGGACTTTTGGGTTAGTGGATGCCTAGAAAACAGTGCCCAAGAAATGAGAGCCTTTTCCTGACAAAGCGCTCCTCCAACCCACTTCTTTTGCACAGATGGCTTCGTTTTTAGCTGTGCCCTGCCTTTGCTGTGTCAGGGCAGCTGGGCTGGGTTTCAGAATGAATCATCTGCGATCACAGCCAAAACAGGGACATTTTGTTGGGATGCAGAACAAGCTATTAGAAACACAAAGCATCTGGTCACCTTTATGAAATGTATTAAGTGGAAAGACAGCCATCCCATAGGTTGACACGTACGTGAGCAGAGCACTGAACGTCTGGACGTTAAGTAGATTCAAGTTTTAAAATAAAAATGTGTGTTGCAGCTCGGAAAATAATACATTATTTATTAGCTGTGACATTTCCAAAAATTCAAATGCCAAAGCCAAATATTGGTGAGCTTGCAGTTTTGGAGAGGATTTCAAAACATTTTATGTCTTCCCTTTTTTTGATGAATATTTTGGGTCAGACCCAACAACCAGATTTGCACATACCTAGCTCTAAAACTAAATCCCACTGTTGTAAGGATGTTACTGGGTACCAGTGCAGGCTGTTTATATGAGATCACACTGAGGGACTGCACTGTTTTAACTATGGGTGTCTAAACCACAGTGCAGATGCAGTGATTTGACTGAAGAGGTAGCGGAGAAATCAAAGTGATCCAGAATTATACCCAAAACAGCCCAGGTCTGGGAAGCAGTGTAGAGGAGAATAATAACAGGATAACAGGAGCAGAGGAGAAACACCAAAATCTTCTTCCCCAAAAGTCACAGAGCCTGTCTAGAGCTACTCCTCCTGAGCTGCAGCAATAGAGTCCACACTGCAGGCCTGTTGGAAACTCTCTGCTTACTGTATCTCGCTAGGGAAGGGAGGATGAAGGGTTATATCCATTTAATTGAGATGATTGCAGGGAATCATGATGGTAAGCACACCATTAGGGCACTTCTCTGAAACTGGTATTTTAACAGAGTTGAGGGTTGCCTCTCAGCACTCACATGATGAGTTGCCAGTGATGCTTTTCTGAAGGATGGTTCTGAAAAACCATTCTGCTGCCATTTCATCTGTGGACTCTGATAAACACACACGGGGAGTACACAAAGATTGGCCTTAAAAAGTGTACAGGGAGATTCTTGACTGGTAGAAATTGGATCCTTACTCCTACATGCAAATAGTCGCTCCTTGCAATAAATTACTTGGATGCAATTATGGGGGTGGTGAGAGGGGTTATACTAACTTGTACCTCCCCCTCCTTCCGAGTTCTGCCTCAAGATGCTCTCTTACAAGCCCACTGAAGTCAGTTATGTGGTGGGGATGTAAAAGAAATCAGGATTTGCCCTGTCCTCTCTTCTTTCGTTTTTGGTTCATTGAATTTTATTCCTGTAATTCAATAAATGTGGTGAAGGAGGCCAGGGGATATGAATTAAATATGACATGAGACCACAGGTGTCCTGACCTTCTGCCTCATAAGGAAATCTGGAAACCAACCCCCTGCACGTACCTATCAGCGTTCTGGCTCCTGAAATCATTATAGATGCTATTGAAATACAACTACGTTCACCTCCTCCATTGCACAGCTAATTGCACCTTTCCCAAAACCAGTAGCTCTCTGGAGACCTCATCCTGTGATATGCCTTTGTTTCTTTATGGATGCTTTGTTTTCTTCCTTTGAAAAATGGATTTGACTTCAAATGCTTTCATCCCTTCTATTGTGGGGAGGAGATGTGTAGTTAAAACATTTCTCAGCCCCAGACACTCTGAGCAAACTTGAACAGTTATCTGTGGAGTGTGCGGTCAGCTTTTACTTCAGTGGGCACTTAGGTCTATATTTCACATCTAGATGACAGAACTTATATTACTTTAAAGAGTTCATCTATTTATGCTGCAATTTTTTGAAGACCTGTCTGCTTTTATTGAACCCTGCGTGCTGGCAAGCGAAGCTAGCACTTCATCACCAAAATGAAAGAATTCATTTTGAC